ATCTATCCTATATGTGTCATTGGTTCAGCTTTCCTTCTCAAATAATCCCATGCAGTTCTAACACTAAAGAAACCCCTAGGTTCCAGCATCCAACAAGGTACATCAAGAACCCCTTGTGCTAAAGGTGGCTTGATATTCACTAGTATATGTTCTGCATACTCTTCAGGAAGAATTTCAAACAACCTTTCTGCATTCCATCCTTCTCCTTCTATCACATCATACACATTATGCACAGATTCATCTACCCCAAAATTTTGTGGAATAAGAAAATACAATGCCCCCAAACCTGTCCAATTATCGTACCAAAACAATGAGGAGCCTATTTTTGGATGCCACATAATCTGATGCTCAATCAAGTATCTACACTCCAACATCTTCCTCCATACATGAGATCCTTTCCTCCATGGAACTATCATAGAATTCAGCTTTTTGCAGTACTTTTGACTCATAAAAGAGCTCCAAAGACTAGGCTTGGTTCTATATTTCCACCACAGTTTGTCGAAGAGAGCTTTTGCTACATCATGAAGAGACCTGAACCCAATCCCTCCTTCTTCTTGTGGCATACATAGAGTAGTCCATGATGCCCAATGTCTGTTAGTACCTGTAACTGAGCTGCTCCAAAAAAATTGAGCAAATATCTTATGCAGTCGATTGATCACATGAGCTGGAGGGTTAACAGTTGATAACAGGTGGATTGGCATGCTTTGCAGAACATGAGCAATGAGTACTGCCCTGCCACCTATAGACAACAACTTACCTTTCCACGATTGTAATCTGTCCAATACCTTGGTGATCATAGGCTGGTAATACTCCATCTTCCTCCTTGAGTAAAATATAGGATATCCCAGGTATATAATTGGAAATTCTTGCCTCTTTATTCCTGTGACTCTCTCCACTTTATCTGCCACTTCTGCATCTGTTAAATGATGAAGATACACAGCTGACTTTGCCTTGTTTACCAAATGCCCAGATGCTGATTCATATGCTGCAAGTACCTTCATGATGAGTCTAAGGGATGTGGCATCAGATGATGAGAAAATAATTGTGTCATCTGCATAGGCAAGATGGTTGATCTTTGGGCTCCATTTAGGTAGGCCATAGCCACAGAAGTATAAATTCAAATTCAAAGCATTAAGGCCCCTTGACAATGCTTCAACAGCTAAAATAAACAAGGTAGGAGACAATGGATCCCCTTGCTTCACCCCCCTCGAAGATTTGAAAAAACCATGAGCTTGGCCATTTATTAAGACTGAGTACCAGTTATTAGACACTATAACGAACACCATGCCTATGAATCTCTCTGAGAATCCCATTTTTCTTAACACCTTGGTCAGAAATAGCTAGGATAGTCTGTCATAAGCCTTGGTCATGTCTAGCTTCATAATAACATTAGGCCCTGCCTTTGTCCTAAGTCTCATATCTGTGACAATCTCTTGAGTTAGAAGAATATTTTCCACAATGCTCCTTCCCTTAACAAAACCAGACTGTTCTTCAGATATTAGAGTAGGTAACAGTCCCACCAGCCTCTCATGTAACACCCTTGAGATCACTTTATTGGAAAAATTACTAAGGGTGATAGGTCTTAAATCAGAAAATGTGTATACCTTTTTCTTTTTTGGAAGTAAGACAAGGTTGGTGTGAGTCACACATTTTGGCAAATCATGACCATTAAAGAATGCTCTCACTATGTCAAATAGATCCCCTCCAATGATGTCCCAGGCTGACTGATAGAATTTACCTGTGAAGCCATCAGACCCTCCTGCACTGTCTCCATTCAGTCCAAACACAACTGCCTTAACTTCCTCCATAGTTGGTTGCTTTATTAGCTCTTCATTCTGCCCCATGTCAATCAATGAAGGAACATTATCTATGATATGGAAAGAAGTAGGAACTGTATTTTCAGTAAATTGATCTTCAAAGAACTTGATTGCTTCTGCAGCTATTTCTTCCTCCTCTTCAATCCACACTCCTTGACTGTTTTGAATTCTGGTCAGCTGCAACTTCTTTCTTCTGCCTCTTACATGAGCATGAAAAATTTTAGTATTTCTGTCACCATCCTTGAACCAAGACATTCCTGCCTTTTGCCTCCAATACTTTTCCTCCAAAGCTAAAATTTGATCAATTCTGCCTGCACTTTCTGTAGCCTTTGTCTATTTAGCTTTGTAGGATTTGCTTCAAATTCTGCTTCATGAACAAGCACAACTTCCTCCAAACTAGCTATCTTCTGGAATATATCTCCAAAGGTACTCTTGCTCCACACTGATAATGCCTGTTTTACCTTCTTCAATTTATGATTGAACATGATATATGGACTTGCACAGAAATCAGCTTTCTAGTTCTCTTGCACCACTTCTTTGAAAGATGCATGTTCCACCCAAAAGTTCAGGAATCTAACTGGCTTCTTCACAGGAGGAGTCTCTAAATCACACTTGATTTGCAGTGGACTGTGATCTGACCCTATTTTAGGTAGATGCTGTACTTCTATGCCTGGGAAAGTCTGCTGAAATTCAGAATTGGCTAAGCATCTATCTAACCTTTTGAATATGCAATCCTCTTCTGCCCTACCATTCCACCATGTGAAGATACTACCCTTGAATCCAAGATCAAAAAAGTTGCAGGTGTTAATGCAGTGCCTAAAGTCATCAATTTCATTTATGTGAACTGGAAGTCCACCAAATTTTTCCTCCTCATCCCAAATGACATTGAAGTCACCTCCTACCAACCATGGCACATTCATGTCACTTGCCATAGCATACAATGAGTTCCATAGTTCTATTCTCTCAATGGCATCACACTTAGCATATACTAATGTAAGAACAATTTCTACATGTGATTCTGTATGAAAAAGCCTTAGAGTTAGTTGCTGGATCATGTTATACATTACTGTGACTTCAACCACCTCATCAATGAATACACATATCTTGTTTGACACATTAGAAATAGCCTGTGCAAATCCAATTCTATTTCTGTACCTTTCCAAGGTCCTAGATTGCTGCATGGGTTCCATCAATCCTATAAATTCATAATTGTTCTTTCTATGCATTTTGATCAGCCTTTCAAAGGCTTGCTGAGTGTTTACTGACCTGATGTTCCAAACGAGAGCATCCATTACTGGTTGAGGGATTTGGATAAGGTTCTCCTTGTTTGAACTCCACCTATAGGAACAGTAGAGCTTTCTTTCTGCTGTTTCTTCTTACCTTTTACTGCATATTTCACCTTTTCAAAGTGCCTAGGTGAAAGGTCCCCGTGTCTTGCTATGTTTTGAAAATTCTGAGTTGTTGACTCTTGATCCATATCATGGCCTGTTCTGCATGTTCCTTCTTCTGCAACATTATCCTCTTGTTCACCATCAGTAGCCCCAGCTATTTGCTGCTGAGAATTCACCAATATTGTTTGCTCCTCCCCTCTCTTCAATAACTTCAACTGAGACTTGTCCAATGGAGCAGTGATTTTTGGCATGACATTTGTCTGAATTTTCTGACCATCATTACCAACCTTTACACCTTCCTGCTGTATGTCTTTTTCACTAATATGCTGATTTGCACCTTCTCCAGTTCCTCCAGGATCCACTGCATCAATTCCTATACCTTCTGCATTTTGAACACCTTCCCCATGAGATCCAGCTTTATCCTGTATGTTCTTGATTACTGCTTGCTCCTTGGACTCAGTATTTCCCTTTGTAGAGTTATCATCTGCTTTGTTGTCAAATGTGATTATGGCATTCGCATTTACACTTTGTTCCTCATCCTCCTTCTCTTCATGCATTGGCTCCTCATCAGCTTGAGCACCTAATGGTACCTCATCAGCATCTGAATCCTCCTCTCTTTGATTAGACCATAGCTTTCCTCCACTCCATTGCACTGTCTAATTCACCTTAGGAAAAACAGTATCATTTGTTTGAATTTCTGGATTAGCTAATTCCTTATCCACCAATGTGTCCTGTGAAGGAATATCCTGACAGGAAGTGTTAACTCCCACAGTAATACCACCTGCATTGCCATTGAAAGCTCTTTGCACCCATTGAGCTGTAGATTCCTTGCCTCTAATTTCTTCCTGTCCTCCCCCTCTTGTGTTTGAATCAGCTCCACCATTATTTGACCCAATACCAGCTGAATTTAGATTGAATTCTGGAGCTGCAGGATTCAACTTTCCTACAGTATTAAAAATCTGTTGTTGATGATGTTGCACTGTACCATGATTTCCTCCTGCTGGACTTTTGGGACTTGATTAAACTGCTACTAAAGCCATCTCATCAATAACTGCCAGCTGTTTGCCCTGCTCATCACCAATTTCTTCTTCTTCCAATGTTGCAAATTTGTTAGATGTTTGCACCTGCTCATTGCTAGGAACCACTGACTTCTTCTGTTGTACTGGCACAATTTCTTGGCCAGTTTTAGGTACTCCTTCAGTCAAGTTCTCCTTGCTTTTCCTCTATTGTCCCTCAACTCTTTCCATTGTGCACCAACATTACCAACTAGCTTACCACTTGAAAGAATCATCAAAGGAGCTGCCCCTTCACCTTGCTGATTATTGGATCCCATCTCTACTACCTTGTTAGCCTGCTGCTCACCAATCTTACTTGCCATCAATTTTGGATGAATCCTCCAGCATTCTAACATTTCATGTCCTTGTAACTTGCAGTCCTTGCAATATTTAGGTAGGTAATCATATTTAATGGTCACCCACTCAGCTCTTACATCTCCAGTTACCTCATTCGCAATGTCCATTTGAACCTTCTTAGGAAGATCAGCTAAAAGATCAACCAACACTTTCACACGTGCACAACTAGGCCTTGTTTTATTCACAGTAGCCAAATCAAGGTGAAGTGGCTTACCTACTACAGAAGCTAAGGAGAACAGGCACTCTTTAACAAAATAAGTTGGCAACAAATTAGGGAATGATATCCAGGACATTACCTTAGGTGTTTCCTCTCCAACCTTAAATTTTGCATCATAAATCAAGGTTCTTAATTGATATTCATCCCCATGCTTATCCTTGACGTAATACACACCTTTAGAAGAAAAGTCCACAAAATCTTGCCATAATGACAATCGTACCAATATGTGCCTATCACGTAGATAACCAATGTTACACTCACCTTTAATCCCACACTGCATAGGAACAATGCGACGTAGTTCATTGAGCTCAGGCCATCCATATGAGAATTTGCACACTACTGCATATTGCAAACCTTCAATAACGTTCATACGTTCTACTTCTGCTTCTGTGAATCTAACCATTGGTTGCCCTTGAAGGAACGTTGCTCGCCTTAAAGGGATAGGTTCAACAGCAGCTGCACGATCATGGAAAGCAGCATTGCTCGACGAAGGTTTTACTACATTAGCATAATTCATGGGCTCGACGTTGTTATTTGTTGTCGTGCATGGCTGGGTAATGTTGGGAGGAGGTTGGGGAGGCAGCCCAGCCACAGCTGGTGGCTGGCCGCCAGCCGGCGAGGCCATGAAGCTGCTGCGCGAAGTTTCTCTCTCTAGTCGCCTAATTTTTTTGCCAGAGCCTCTCTCTGTAGACTTCTTCCTGATCGCTCTCTCAGGAGTTTCTTAAGGAGATTTTTTTTATTTCTATGTTTTGAGTCTGTTTTTCTTTTTATGTCGTCTTTTACCTTCTAGTTTTGTACAGTAATGTCGAGTCTTTTAGGTGATGTTAGAGTCTGTCATAGTCTAGCTAAGTTTGTCAAGTCTTTTGTTATTGTACTTCCTTTTTTGTATTTTGAAAAAATGTATTATAAATCAAAAATCCAAAAAAAAGAGATTTTATTTTTTTTTTTAATATTTTCGTTAGAAGTTTTCTTTAGAATACTAATTCTAGAAAATTAATTTTTTTTTTAAAGTGGCTTTCCTTTAGGAAATTAATATCTAGAACTCAAACAAAAATTGCTTTTATATTTCCTTTAGTATATTGAAATTCAAACAAAAAAAAATTTCTTTTGATACCTCTTTAGAAGTTTTCTTTAAGATATTAATTCCAAAAAATCCAAAAAGATTTTCTTTTGAGGCTCTTCTTTGGAAAATTAATGAAAAATAGAAAAAAAATATTCTTTTTATTTTTACTAGAACTTTAGGACATTGTACATAGAAGAAAAAAAATAACATACTTTATCTTTGGTTTATCTTCAGAGTTTCTCCCTTAGGTAATCAAAAACTGAAATCCAAAAATATTTTTTTTATATTTTTCATTTCTCGTTTCGAAATCTTTTTTAGGGATATCAAATGAAAATTTAAAATATTTTTCTTTGGTTTATTCTTTAGATTTCCTTCCTAAAAAAAAGAATCAAAAAATATTTTTCTGTTCTAGGGTTGTTTTTCCTTCATAATTTCCCATAGAGTATTTGTTTAAAAAAAAAAAATATATGCTCAAGCTTGAGTTTAGAATAGGTCATAGAACATTAAGTCTAGAAAATTCAAAAAAAAAGATTCGCTTCTTTTATCTCTCTTTTCTCATCAGAATAGTCATTAAGGTAAAAAAAAAGAGAACGTTAGTTTGTTCACTTTATTCCCGATCTTCCCGAACTACGCAAGGATCTGATTCATGCGGCGTCATGATACGTAGGCAACCTACATAGGGTTCGATTGAATCTTTCTTTGTTAAAAAAAATCAAAAAAACAACAAAAAAGAGAAAAGGAAAAGAAAAGAGATGAAATTATGGGATGTGAGAAATGAGAGGAAAGAAAAGAGCGATAATTAGAAGAAAAAAAGAGGAAGGAAAATAAGCAAGCCAAGAAGTGCCAGAAAAGAAAAGAAAAGATAAGATTGAAATGAACAAATTGGGATGATGCCAAGTGATCTTGTGACCCTCGAAGTCATTCTAGAACCGATAACTGTGACCAGGTGCATTGCACATAATGTGAGATTATCTTATGTTAAATGCCCTAATGTTAACAGGATGACCCCATTTTGTTCCTTTTGTTATCTTCATTGAGTAGTAGGGTGGTTGGTTTGTGGTTCTCAAGTAACTCATCCATACAACACAAGGTCAAAGAGCAAGGTAGCCATGACTAGCAAAGACTTGGACACAGGGGTTGTTGATCCGTTTAAGGTAATTGTTGAATCAGAATCTGAGTTGAAAGCAGAGATTTTAAGGTTGAAAAGACTGATGGCCGAAATATACCAAGCATGGATTAGTGGGCGTCCTCTACCATCAGTTCCCACTAACTACACTGAAAGCCTTGTCACAATTCCGCCACTGTCACAAGTGCAGGATATCTCTCCACAACCTTTTCACACTCCACCCCCCAGAACCACCTCATATCTCGCACCTTTGACCACTCATGTTTTTGTAGCTCATCCACCTGCTACATTTCCTCGATCCTCTAGCGAGACTGTGTTCAAAATCCTCGATGCCCAACACTATGCTCCAGAACCAATTTTCAAGGTCTCGGGTCCATACTCTTACGCTCCTCATTTTGAGCCTCCCGGTGAGACTGCAAAGCCTGCTAAGACAGTGGAGCAAGATAAGATATCCAGAAAGATGAAAGGGTTTAAGATGCCAAAGTTCAATTTGTATCATGGGTGTGGAGAACCAGTAGCCCATCTGAGGGGTTATTGCAGTGAAATGAGAAGTGTTGGCAGGAAAGATGAGTTGCTGATGGCGTATTTCAGTGAGAGCCTGACTGGGGCAGCTTTGGAATGGCATACTCGTCAAGATTTCGGTATGTGGCATACATGGGATGGCATGGCTCAAGATTTTGTGCGACACTTTCAGTACAATATAGACATTATCCCAGAACGCTCCTCCCTATCTCAGATGGAAAAGAAACCCAAGGAAATAGGGAGTTTTGGTTCAGATGGAACGAACAAGTTGCTCGGGTCAGTTCTCCGATTAGTAGAAAAGATGTTTCTAAGCCCCGCCAACGACAGGATCCAGTGGGCATTCCTGTTAAACGCTTTCAGCCTCAATTCCGACCCCATGAATCTCCTCATACTCCAGATAATCCTCACCAATGCTACTTTCCTCCACAAAATCCCCAAGGTCATACCTTGCCTTCCCAATACTCTATCTACAATGCACCGCCATATGCTCCATACCCACGAGACCTGCAATGGCCTGCACCACCCCCTCAAATGTCTTACCCGCCTCCTCAAGCATATCAA